CAGCCTGTTGATGCATCTGTTGGTCGATCGTTTAAATGTGCGTTCAGACGTCTTCTAGTTTCACACATACTCGATTACGTAAACAGTATGATGGAACAGCCGGCAAACATGAGACCTGTTTTTAAACTAACAAAATCAGTCACGACATTTGATGCGGTCGGTTTAATGGCGAAGGCATGGAACATGGTGCCAAAGAGTGTCGTTCTAAACGCATGGCTCTCCACTAATATACTGGCCCCTTTCAAAATGAAGACGTACAAAGTATTAAAGCAGGTGTCGATGGTGACTCGGTTATACCTGCATTCCGACCACAAGTTGGAAGCAGTATATTAACCGAAAAATCAGCTGCCCGCATACAGGCCACTTTAGCACGTGAAAAGGGAGAAAGATGGCTATCCACCTCCGAATCGCAAAATACGAGTACAGTAGCAGCGTTGGAGGAGACTGTTGTGAATACAGTTTCTGAATAGGATCAAGTGAATATTGAAGTTACGGTTGAAGAGGCTCAAATGCTGTATAGGCCTCCGGAAATCAGTTCATTTAATGATGATGATCTCAATGCTTTGTTACGGGAGGAGTCTTTTGTCGACACGTGCCAGGCACTGTCTGCCGAAAACGCGATGGATATTGCAGTCAGTGATTCGCTGCAGCCTTTTGTACCTGAGGGCGAAGGTGACATACGTGCTGGAGTGGATGCAGCCGAAACGGTTGATTCTGAGTCAGAAAATGAAGAATCACGAGTGCAGGATCGGCCATCAATATCTCGCTATTTGCATGCAGCTCAATGTTTAGAGCGAGAGATGAACTTAATGATACGGGCTGATCATGACGCGGCGTCAAACAGCCAACACAACTTAGCCAATCTACAGGCGATTGAGATTAATCGCATACGGGCGTTTAAAGTTAAGAACTCGCGACAATCACGCATAAGTGACTTTTTTACGGAACATTAACCGAATGAAGGACGGTGGCTTTGCTGGGCATATTGTCAACTTGGCTTGGGTTTGAAACCTCTCCTCTCCTGACTTCGTCATGCCGACCGCTCTTGGACTCGAGAATGTTGACTCGGGACTGATAGCGGAATGTAGTTGTCTTGAGCTGACTGCTGCTGATTATTACTGAAAATCAATTTCCGGGACAGTGACCCTGACTGAAGTTGGGGTCACAATAGCAGAAAGGATCACTGTAGTGGGGGGGGGGTCACTGTAAAAATTGAAATGTTGGAATCTGGGTTGGAATCGCGTAGGTGGCGAAGAAAATAAGTGCTAAAGGTCACTGTACCGCAAAAGTCACTATACCAGGGGGTCACTCTATCGTGATTTTACTCTGTAGCGGACTGGTTGGCCATGAACAGGGTACTGTAATGTACTGTAATATGTAATCCCAGCGCCTACGTAGTACAGTACTGGGTGGATTCCGAAACTGTGATTTTCCCAAATCACCAAATGTGGCGGCACCCCGGAAATGAAAAACATTTCGACTCCAGTTCGCCTGTTTTCCTAGCAAATTGGCGGGAGCGCTATGAATAAGGCATTCGCAAGAAAATGGGAGCCACAGATGGTAGGTGGTGCGCAGAGTAGTCCAGATCTTCGCATCTGGAGAAAATCTGACAAATTTATCGCAATTGCATTGGTCGATATTTGGTAATTTGGTTTTCCGGCCATTTCGGAATGCACCCACTGTATCTACTCTCACGAGCCCCCCTCCGTGTTTGCTTCCAGGCAGACTCTCCTGTGCGGCGTGATACGCCAGCCCGTTCGCACGCTCTAGTGTCTAGACGACCGGCAATTTGCCTCATATGAGGTCACCCTTGACCTCATATGAGGTCAAATGCTCTACAGTAAAATTTAAACAAAATTTAAGATTTTCGCAAGTATAGAACAAAAGGAGCACAATTTTTACGAAGTAGAACTTTGAACGACTATAAAGACAACTATAAACGACTAGTTAGTAACTGACAAGCCAGCTCAGTGGTCTGCAAGGATTGCTGAGTCTTAGAGGCCGGGGTTCAACTCCTCGCTGAGCACTTTAGTGGTCGAAAAATCCCTTCGGGGATCTCGATGGTTCTTGTTCGTGACCTGCAGCCCAGGACGCTTTATAGCGCCCACTCGAACATGAGATTGAATACGGTGACATCTCATAAAGGGGCATTCCGACACGGCTGCAGGTCTTCCAAGCAAGTCTTTAGACGCAGGATAGAACCATAGGGGGCAAAAGGAGTTTTTTATCTCTTTTTGCTCTATTTTACTCAAATGCTGACCCATTTAGTCAGTTTTAATGGCCGAGAACGCTTTAAGCACTAGTAGTACTTACCTTTGTAAGTAAGATCGTGACGTTCGTCGACATGTTTCTTAAAACAGTCACGCCCAGTCTGGTGATGACAAAGGTATACTTCTTTGTCAAAATATACCTTGCAGGCTGAGCAAATAAACTTTGACTTTTTTGTACCTTTGCAAATATTGCACCTGGATTGATAAAGAGCACAAGTCTCCTCGCCGGATGCGCTTTTCCGCTTGCGAGTGGTTGGAGTTAGGTGAGTACCAATTCCACTGCCAAACCCAACATGTTCATCTTCAACAGCACTGTCTGATTCTCGCTGACGTAACGATATACGATCATACTTGTTATCAATCAACTGGTCAGCAAGCTCACAATAAAACTGATTTGGAGACATCTTAGAACCATCTCCTTTTGCACCTGCATACAGTTTCCATGCATCCACAATGCAAATGGCCAATAAAGAAGTGTTCACACGCATAGACCACTCCTTGACTTCGAACTTCTTTTCCAAGCCGAGATCATCCTGACGAGATCTGTTGTGGCGGTCAATCTGAGAGCAAGTTTCATAATACTGCTCACAGACTGAGGGAATACGGATAGACAATTCCTCTTTTCTTGTCACGCCATGACGTGTACGCCATCTCTCGCGGTAGATTGGAGTTCCTTCGTTGGATGTTCCGACAGAACTAATAAAGTATCTGCGGTCTCGGTCCACCCACATCACTGCCATGAGATGAGGCCCGGCCACCGGCTTCGAAACTAGTGTGACGTGCTCTCCCTTTTCAGCAATCTCCAGATGAGATAGATATTTCATCGGATATTTCTTGGTAGATGTCTTCACTACACCTGTGAATCTAAGACCTTTCTCATAAAGTGATTCAGCCGTGTGGACAGAAGCAAAGTACGATCCGCACAGACAACACGATTGGTGTGAAACCATGGCTGTAACAACCTCAAAGTCACTGCGGTTCCGTGTAAGTGGTCACTTTCAAAATCCTTTAAAGAAGTCTCCTCAGCTGAGACGACGTTCTCAATTCTTATTATGATTCCACTTTTTCCACATGCAGCAGTCTTCAACTCACAGCCATTCTCGGGTTTTCGGTCCATGGCCACATAATGAGGAAGACCGGTTTCAATCCAATCTCCTCCAAGTCCATACCAGCGTGACATACTCTCATCAACGCAGATGTTCTGTGATGGAATCACATGTGATGCTCTGTGATCATTGATTGCGACCATGAAGTCCCTGATCATACCCCATCTGTCATTTGAGTCAGCTGGAAAGCTGAACGTGACATTCTGACGAAGCTCCTCGAATCTTCTGCGGGAGATGATGTTTCCGAATTGAGGTTGCGGGAGATATTTGCTGGTTTCCTGTGAGCTCCAAAGAGACCTTCTGGTGCTGAATTCAATCCGAATCATAAGGATTAGCACCCCGAAAAACTTCAAATTTTCACCTCTTGTAGTCAAGCGAAGTCCCTTTGATTCCATTGCATCGTTGGTGTAGGAAACCATTAATGCCAAGTGCTCCTGTGGGAACATCCACATGAAGTAGTCCATAGGATGCATTTGAGATGGACTGTGACCACGGGATATAATCTCATCAATCGGTCCAATCACCTTCCATCTTTTCGGCGGTATCATACCATTTAAATGCATCGTGACTTTCTCACGCTTCCAGGCCCGGCCGTGGACATTCATGAGGCCATCTTGGGAATCCATTTCGTCACTCTCGGAGATTTTCGTACTCGGGCTGAATGCTCCTTCCAGTAGCGTCACGCGGTTCTCTGTAGGCTCCGGTTGCGCATAATGTTCAGTTTCTTGATGGATATGATCTTCAGGACCGTCATCGACCAGGTCCATCACTTCACCAGCCTTGATGTTAGCTATGCGAAGCGTGACTTCCTTGACGCCATCTGATAATTCCCATTTAGCCCTGACTGAAGTGACACTGCGACCCTTCACTTTGTCAGTTTTCATGCTAATGACAGTTCCCGTGACCAACTTAATCTTCCAGGAGGCTCCATACATGCGACGACATTTACTCTGAGCTGTGAGCAGTCTTGCACGAGTGTGGACGCGGTTACCTGCAATAATTCGAGGATCATTGACGCTCACCATTTTGAAGAAATTTTGGGAAGAGGAAGACGAAAGTGTTGATTAGGGAAGACTGAGATACGGAATTGAATGTTTTCTGGTTTGCCAACGTTTAGTACTCTAGTCGTAAGCTTTTCACTACAGTAGCGATAAGTTTCTACAATTATTCGAATTGCAAAAGCCCGCCTAAAAACTGGCCTCATATGAGGCCATTTGTCACCTAGACACTAGACTCGAGAGAGTTGCTGCAGTGCTTGTTTTCGACCAGGACTGCAACAAGTCCTCGCAGCATCACTTCTTATGAACTATTTCATCTTTGGACCACACGTTACTTGTTGGGGCTGCGGTGCATCTACGAACGTCCCCTTCCCTGCCTACACTGACGATTTCCTCCAGAGCCTTCCTTCTCTCTGCACAGCCAGCAGCCGCTCCCGTAAATCCCATATACCCCACCTTGACCGTGTTCTTTTGCGCAAGTATCCCTTCACTTCACGGTACACGATTGACAAAGACGAGTCATTACAGTGAGCTCTCGTCTCTGCAAGTAAACACACCCAGACTTTCACATCAAAGCCTCCTAGATTCTTTCTAAGTTACTCGCACACCTCGCTTTCTTTGCCGATATGGCCTTCGACCATCTCGCTGAAAACACCATCATCGTCCTGTTGGCCTACACCGCCGCCTTCCTCCCGTGGACTGCTCTCACCACCTTTGACTTTATCTCTGCCAAATGGCGCAGGGTTCGTGACGTTCGTATCGCCGGCTACGTCAACCTTGTTCTCGCGCTAGTCCCGGCATTCTACATACTGTTTTACATGGTCGTGCAATCCAATGTCGATCAAAAGGAGATGTTCACTGCGCTGGTCGCTATGCTGTTTGCGTTGCTGCACGTTGTGCGGACGTTATGGGGACTGTGGCAGTTGCAGCTATTTGTCAAGTGGGCTGTCAAGAGCATTACGTCGTTGCGGGCCCTTGGGATTGAATATGAGCTCAACACGGGCGCCCGTACTGGCCATGATGGGAAGAAGCAAACCCAGAATGGCCAAGAAAGAGAGCAGGAAACCACGAATATCGGTACTACGCAGGAGCCCGGAAATACGGATGACAAGGAAAAAGTGCACTATGTGGCTGAAATTGTAGATGAACTATGGGTGAGCGATGAACTGATTGAGAACCGTGTGTTCCATGGGAATGCTCGGTGCTACATAGTGTTTGACAAGATTGAGTTCAGAATAGATCCAAAGAGAAGAAACGTGTTTCGTCAACGCATCGTGCTTCTGTTACAAGCGCTCTCGATACCATTTCGGTATGTGTATGGAATAGTGCAGAAATGGCTTGGGAATGGGTCTATACCCTGCTTTGTCCAGGTTCCACACAAGCCAGAGGATGTGTGGCTGCGATGGTGCGTGGCGTTTGCGGCGCAGGGGTTGAACAAGTGGATAACGGAGTTCACCGCTGCGCCGGAAGTCGATGATGAGGATGGGGCGATAAATAACTTGGAGCGGTACGAAAGACGACGGGAACACCTGGCTGGGCGCGTGCTGGCGACGGCCGGAATACAACTGTGGCTGGGGAGTTGTTTGCCGCTGGATGAAGGCAAGTCGCTTTTGTCAAAAGAGGACTTGTTGCGACGAGCGATGACGAGTGGACGTGGAATGCCGTTCGATGCAGTGCAGAGGAATGCGGTCTTGCGGCCTGGAAAGGGGTAAAAGGCCTATGAGAGAAAACTAAATCGACTCATTGATGGAATTCCGGTGGAGTTTGAAGAACAAGTGGAAGAGTTGGACATCGAGAGAGTGGAGTGGCTTGCGATTTTGCTGTACATAGGAGAAGAACGGATTGGCAACGGAAGTGCGAGCGGAGATTCTCGTAGATCTGAAGAGTATGAGAAACTGGAGCATGACGATTTAGCGATTTAAAATATGCGAGCACAGCTGGGCATGGGCAACAGAACTTCAGGAGTGGATGCAGCGGAAAGAAGGAATGCTAGCATATGCGGGTTTCCGATGCCAGAACGATACTTTCATGAAGTATCCAAAGAGAATAGACTGGTGACCAAGGTCGGGGAGCTTGTCGACTGCTGGTTAGCGCTTATGGCGGGAGTGCAAATGCAATTCCTGGTGAGTAAGGACGAAGAATGGCTCAGACGTTGTCTGGGTCAAGTCGAGCACGACCAAGAGACTGTGGTGAGCGGAGAAGGCGTAGAGATGGGAGGGATGGAAAAGAGGGGGAGCAGCCTCTTCATGAGACATGTTCGAATTGAAGAAGCGATGCAAGCATTCCAGTTTGGAGTCGTGGGTCAAGAGTTTGAGCAGTTGGAGCAGACATTGACGTTTATGGGATATTCGCTGGAGAGCGTGCGTACGAGACTGGGAAGGTGGGTGAAAGCGAACACGGACTCGCAGAGTGGGGCGTGGAGGCCTTTGATGTTTCAAGCGGGGGAGTTGATATCGGGGTGGACGGAGGTTGGGCGTGTATCGAATGATGTGTCACGTACCCTGCAGCAGAGAGAAGGGAATGCAGTACTGAGGGATCGGGCGGTGCAGTGTCGTGTAGTGTGGGAGTTGCAATGTGTTTTGAGGGAAAGGGTATCGGGAATGGAAGGGAGCCCGAGCAGTATGGTAGCGGTGGCGCTTTGCATGGTCAGTTTTCCGTCGCTGGTTGTGATGAAGACAGAAGAAACGAGCGAGGAAATCGGTGCCACGGATGTCCGGTCAAGCGAGGCAGGGGCGGTGGCAATCTCGGAAAATCGAGATAGTGTGTCAGTATCATTCGGGAATGAGCAAAGAGGTAGGAATGCGGAAGAAGAGAGGAAGAAACGGAGCGAAGAAATGTTTGTGATACTGCCGATTTGTGGGCCTCAGAGAATGAGGCTTCAGGTACAAGTGGGCGACGATGACGATTGGAGCAATAGAGGTGGAGCGGGCTATCGAGGATGCAAAGTGAGAGTACGGTTGTGCCGGGGGGCGACATCGCGAGATGAGCGGTTTGAGTGGGGATGGTGGCGGGAGGCGGCGTTGGGACGTATGGAGGGATTGAGGCGATGGCAGAAGAATCATGGTATGTGTTCGCCAGACTTGCATGCCGGGCACCGGAATATGACGTCAGGCATCGTGAGTGTAAAGCCAAGAGCACACAAAACGGGGACAGAGGTTGAGATGTGGTCGGGATGGGAACCGTTTCGAAGCCAGCAATGCAGATTTGAGCTAGAAGGGGACAAAGTTCTTGCGAAATTTGAAGTGAGCATGCGACACGGTGATCTCGTTGTTAGAAAGAAGAACATTACGACATTGTACACCCAAGCCGTCGGGGAGAGAAGGTTCACGGTGTACGAAGACAATGACCGCGAGGCCTTACAAGACGGATGTTTGATAGTAGGAGAAGCACTGGTTGATAAGTCGCCAGGTTGCTTGAGCTCAGTCAGGGCTGGAGTATACGAAGATGAAGAGTTTGCGAAGAACCTGCCAGCAAAAGGCGAAGATGTTATTGGGGAAGAGTTGGGCCAGGTCCAAAGAGACATTTTTCTGTTGAAGGTTGCTGCACTGGAGCATGGTGATATGAACGCGTTGCAGAGATGCGTGAAGCTCCTCACCGACTCGAGTGAGGAGATCACAGAACACATGATATTGACGAACAGGCGACGAGCTGGAGAATTGGTGCTAGCTTTTTTCCACAGTGTTTCTGTGAGCAGAAAGGGGAGTGGCGGGGTCAAGGGGGGTGGAAGAGAGTTTGAAGCGTTGTTTTCATTATTGCAGGAGCTTGTGGAGAAATCGGCTTTTGACAACTATGTCGTGGATGTGGTTCTGGGATTTCTGAAATGCGCAGTAGATCTGAGTATACCTGAGGATGTACGAAGCTGCCTCGTATGGATGCGAAGGTTGATAGCAAGATCACTGAGATTGGATAAGTTGGATTGTCTTTGTCGTAACTTTGAAGAAATACTTGGAGCGGAACGAGGGCAAGGAGTGGCTATCCGTCGGAAGCAGTTCTTCATGGACAGTGAGGTGACCGAGTACGACGTGTGTACTGTTAACATTTTAGAAAAGACTCTTCTGAAACGCAAGATTGAGGAGCATGATGATGTCGGGGCGATGAACAATCTAGGACTGATGGTGCAGAAGGGCGCAGAAGGAGTAGAAGCCGATGCGGTACGCGCAATGGATCTGTATGAGCTTGCAATATCGAAAGGCAGGGATGGCACCGTGATGCGCAACCTAGGTTGTTTGTTGGAGACCGGAGGGGAGGGGGTCGAGAAGGATGCGGTACGAGCCAAGGAGTTGTTCGAGCGTGCAATCAATGAGCATGGTCATGTTGGGGCGATGAACAATCTAGGACTGATGCTGCGTAACGGCGCAGAAGGAGTAGAAGCCGATGCGGTACGCGCAATGGAGCTTTATGAGCTTGCAATATCGAAAGGCGATGACGGCTCTGCGATGAACAACCTAGGTTGTTTGTTGGAGACCGGAGGGGAGGGGGTCGAGAAGGATGCGGTACGAGCCAAGGAGTTGTTCGAGCGTGCAATCAATGAGCATGGTCATGTCGGGGCGATGAACAATCTAGGACTGATGGTGGAGGAGGGCGCAGAAGGAGTAGAAGCCGATGCGGTACGCGCAATGGAGCTTTATGAGCTTGCAATATCGAAAGGCAATGACGGCTCTGCGATGTACAACCTAGGTTGTTTGTTGGAGACCAGAGGGGAGGGGGTCGAGAAGGATGCGGTACGAGCCAAGGAGTTGTTCGAGCGAGCAATCAATGAGCATGGTCATGTCTGGGCGATGAACGAGCTAGGACTGATGCTGCATAAGGGCGCAGAAGGAGTAGAAGCCGATGTGGTATGCGCAATGGAGCTTTATGAGCTTGCAATATCGAAAGGCGATGACGGCTCTGCAATGTGCAACCTAGGTCGTTTGTTGGAGACCGGAGGGGAGGGAGTCGAGAAGGATGCGGTACGAGCCAAGGAGTTGTTCGAGCGCGCAATCAATGAGCGTGGTGTTGTCCAGGCGATGAACAATCTAGGACTGATGGTGCATAACGGGGCAGAAGGAGTAGAAGCCGATGCGGTACGCGCAATGGAGCTTTATGAGCTTACAATATCGAAAGGCGATGACGGCTCTGCGATGAACAACCTAGGTGGTTTCTTGGAGACCGGAGGGGAGGGGGTCGAGAAGGATGTGGTACGAGCCAAGGAGTTGTTCGAGCGTGCAATCAATGAGCATGGTCATGTTTTGGCGATGAACAATCTAGGACTGATGCTGCATAACGGGGCAGAAGGAGTAGAAGCCGATGCGGTACGCGCAATGGAGCTTTATGAGCTTACAATATCGAAAGGCAGGAACGGCATCGCGATGTACAACCTAGGCATCTTGCTGAGAGACGGGGCGGAGGGTTTGGATTGCAATTTGGTGCGCGCGGCTGAGCTGTTTGAGATGGCCATTGAAGAGAGCAACGATACAGACGCAATGGTGGAACTCGGAAATCTGTTACGCGATGGAGCGGAAGGAGTCGAGCGGGATACAGATCGTGCATGCAGATTGTACGAGAGGGCCATCGAACAGGACAACCATTCCAAGGCTGTAGAGAATCTTGCTGCGCTGCGCGATGCTGAGATAAATGAGGTCACAGAAGACGGAGATTGAACGATTTCAGAAGTCAGCAAGAGCACTCTCCTGAACGGAGATTGCGGGTGCCGTCAGGGAGAGCAGAAGGGAAAACCCGAGGGTAAAGGCGAGTCGAGTTCCGTGCGTTAAGACCCCTGTAGAAGATGGGATAAAGACGTGGTTCCTACCGTCCGGCAGCGACGGATAGATCGCCTATGCCGAGTTCAACCCCTTTATCGGGACAATGAACTCGGAGGCAGCGGCCGGCGCTAGTGTCTAGACGACCGTCAATTTGACCTCATATGAGGCTAGCTTTTTTTCAAAAAAATATAAATTAAATCGAAACTTTAAAAAGTCAGTTTGGACACCATTTCTTTAACGTATACGCCCTCGGCAATAACATCTTGCAAAACGTTGGGATGGCGGTTTTCAATGCACAGAGAGACTAATGAGAATGTAATGAACTAAGAATCTAATGAAGTTTCAATGATCAGTTGACTTTTTAAACAGGCGTTTTGGTTTCGAAGATATCAACATAAACGTTTTGAGGTTGGTCAAAAAGGCTCCCTTTTTGGGCATTTTAAAAATGGCTGGAAAAGACGTGCAGATCTCACCAAACTCCATCCTTCCGCAACGCAGAAGTCAACTGCGGTGGCGAGAGTATCTTTTTCCATCTTGTTGAGTTAGCGCAAGTCGAGAAAAAATAAGTTGAAAAGTGACCTCATATGAGTTCATTTGTCACCTAGACACTAGAGGGCGCCCACATCAGGCTGCACCCGGAACGGAGAACGGAATCAGGACTTGTCGAGGTGGCGCAACGGAGGAGTCCTTTTGCTCTCGCCCCGTCGCCGCTTTAGCTTTCAACACTCATTTGACCTGTTGTGGTTGGTCGCTGGTGCCATCCACGGGCATCCCGACTACCCCGAACCGGTTAAGCAGCTTCGTTCGGTCGTGCCGTCTTTCGCCTTTGTAGTGTCCTGCGCTTCCACCTCCGCCCCCGCTTGGGTTACACGCACGCACTAGTATGTAATGCGCAAGAACTTGACAAGTAGGGTTGACGACTCAAGCTCAGAGAGCGAGGGGCAAGATGCGAGAACTTGACAACTTGAACGGATCGCTTCGTATCTATGTTTCATTTTCATTGTGCACGTAGTACAATGAGATAACCCTCTCCAGATTGTGCGAGACCCTGTATGCCGGCGATCGTGTCAGAGAGCGGAAGAGTGGGAGACCGCGCGCTCCGATTGCGATCCGAGCAGTCGGTCTTCTTCCTTTCTGGCCTTGCCAAGGATATGGAAAAGACTGCCTTTTGCACTTCTATTTGGCAATGGATAGAGGAACCTCATCCCCACCAACTACGTCCTCTTCCAACGATCGCCACCGATATCCCCTCTTGTTACACCCGAACCAGTCATGTTTGTCAGCCCCAGCAATCAAGAAGTAATCAAACTTTACTTTCACAAGTGTTTTTACTCGCAGCTCTAAAAGATACGCATCTCAAACCCAGCATCTGTGTGCATTCGCTTTTGATTGTAAAACCAAGTATTCGATCGCCACTTGCTTGCATTCCACCACCACCGTTAGGGCGTAAAAGAGGCCCCATTTCCGAACCAACATTCTGTGAGCGCCCGTATAGTTTCCTCGTTTTCCTCGACTACATCTCAGAAGCCAGGTTTCCATAGTGCTTTCCAACTCGCTCCCTGAACGTGGTGGGAGTCCAGTTGTGCCCTGCCCATGTTTTGCGTTTCCGTTCTAGAGGTAGTGGTCGACATCATGTTCTCGCACCTACTGACAGCTGCTGGGCGAGATACCGAGCTGGTTGGACACAAGAACTGGAGAAGATTCCAAACGCCGCGAGACTCGAGCGTAAAATCTACGTTTCAGCACGGTACAGTTGGTCTCTATATGGGATACTCATTCTTTTCGAAGCGCCCTCAAGGAGCTGGCGGGTGCAATCGAAAGGGGAGGAAGATAAGCAAATGATACGAAGGGTTTTTTACAAACGACTGGAAATGCGTGGATTGGAATACTTGTGGCTTGCAACAATGAGAGAATCGTGCGATTCTCTTTGGGTTTCATTTCCGCCTAGCGCAGTACTCGATAGCGCGACGTGTGTGCGTGTTCTTCTGACATGCAGCATTGATTGTTGGACAAATGGCCCTAGTGTTTTTCGATCATTTGCCAAAGAGAACTTGGAAGCTGACCTTGGAGCATCATATTAACGGTTGAGATACTTTGTATAAGCTCTTGAATGTGAATGGCTGTTCTGTACGTGCACAAGGGTGAGGTGGTGGAGTGTTACATAATTGCCATTTTGTGCAATGGGCGGCGCACGTCGGTTCGCGGATGTCGCAGTAGCAGTAGCAAGAGCCTCGAGCGGTCGGGCAGCGGTTGCAGTGGAGTTGAAGGGGGACGCCCAATGTACGTGGGTCCGCCCGAGTTTGTGTCGATGGCGGCGCTGTGGTGACGACGAGCCAAGCACGTTGCTCCGCGATGTGGAGGAGGATGTAGGTTGCAGTGCTGGGACCAGCAAACAACGGCGTGAAGCTCAAAGTCGGTCCAACCTGATCTACGGTAACAGGCGCCTGCTCTCCTTTGCTCCCAGGAAGAGAAGAGAGCAGATGCCAATTAGATTAGGCTTCGGGAAAGTAAGGCCGCGACACAGGAGATAATGCGCACGTACTTTGGAAGGACGCAGTGTGGGCCCGGGCGGAGCTTCAGACTGGCCAAGCCGCCTTACTACACGACGGATCGTGGGGTGATGGCGGTGGGGGATGAGCGGGCGAGCCGGTTTCTACGCGAATCGGGGCGCAGACGGTGCGCACTAGCGTGCGAGCGGCGGGGATGAGAGCGGGTGGGGCAGAGGTCGGGTCCGAGAGGAGAGCTCGAGCTTTGGCGAAGAGTAAGGATCGGTCGCGGTTAGCTCGCGGATACGCGTGGGAGATCAAAATTTCCGGGTGCGATTATTCTGCACGGGCCAGGCGCGGTAGACAACGACGGGGCCGCAATGAAGGCCCAGGAGCGAGGAGGGGCGCTGCGCTCAGAGCGCAGGGGTATCGACTTTTCCCACCCGTCTTCATTTTTTTGAACCACAAGTGGTTACTGTACTAGATTCATATTTTAGGAGTACTTACCGTGAACCAATGAAATAGGAGGAAGCCAGCAGTGTGTACGTACAGTAAATTGCAATGGTGGGATTGCTGTACAGGGGGGGGTAGCTCTATATCGCACTTTTGAATAGCGCATTACCGGATATATCGCACTGTTTCGGGCTTGACACGAAATCAGCCACGTGTATAACATTACACACGTGTCGCTCTAGAAGCCCCTAGTAGAGGCCGTACTGTACAAGCGACCCGCACAGTATCCAAGGGTACTGTTGCAAGGGAACGGCCGGCAAGAGAAAATGCAAGTTGACAGGCCGACAGCGTGCATTAAGTAATCGATGAATTGTGTGTGAATTGTTGTGTTGTGATTGGAGTTAGTTAACAGGTGTGCATTAGTGCATTTAGCACTACAAGGGGGTGCCCCCACTTTTTGCACAAGACCCCCACCAGTTGAACAACTCGAAAAATATCAGATTTTAAAGCAAATAAACAAAAGCATTGCTGTTATTGCATGTCAAAGAGGTGACGGAGACAAAAAAAGGCCCATAACTGGGAAGGGAATCCAAATCAAACATTTTGCCGCGCTTTTTCGATATCTGCGTACTCGAAAACACTTAATTCGATGTGTTCTGCTCCATATAAGTGCAAATTGAAGCCTTGGTGACCTTCCCAGACTCTCCAGACTGTGTTAGAAACCGGGTGTCAACTCACAATGGGTCGTGTCAAACGAATGTCGAAGCACGAGAGATGCTTTCAAAAGGCTCTTGCTGCAGTGGAGAAGGGTGTGGATAGACGTCGTGCTTCGTTAATTGCGCGTATGCCGTTATCCACGTTTCAGTACCGCCTAATGCACAAGGACAGGAAGCCGATCAGCCGAACGTACCTCACCGCTGACGAAGAAAATGTCATTGTGAACCTCGTTAACAGGTACTCTGCCCGTGGCTTTCCTCTCAGCAATGAGGATATCGGTGATGCAGTCGAGATTCTCGTCGCGTCGTTTCCCGCAGATCGCCGAGCAAAACTACCCTTCGTAAACAACAGACCTGGAAAAAAAGTCTTCCGCAATTTTCGTGCTCGCCATAGCGATCGCATCCGCTTCAGACGCTGTTCGAAGGAGGAGGAGTTACGCTGTGTAGTACAACGGCGCGAAGGCAACGGCGCCACCGCTGCCGCCCCGGGATACAGCACGATGGGCTGTAAGCGCGAGAAGAACTGTAAGGAGTTATATTTACAGCACACGGCCGTGCGGAGTACAGTAGTACCCCGCTGGTTACACGTGTAGGATCCGAACGGTAAGTAATTAGTAATTAGTAGTTAATGGCACAAATTAGCCAATTTAGCACAGTAACTGGTATACAGTAAGTAACAGCTACTGTAGCGGGACAGGTGTCCTGGCGTCCCACTTAGGGGTTGAGACCGGGGGCACCTGCCCCGTTCCAGTAAACGGGGGCAGACTCGCCTCCCTTCCCTTTACGGCTAAGTGCTAACACCGTTCCGGTTTTCCTTTAGTTCAGGCTTCTAACCCGTGACCGGCCGTCCGGATCTGACACCACCGACCGGCTGCGCGTCACCGGCCACGTGAGCCTTCCCTCTTTTCGAGTCCTTCCGTACGGTTCGCGCTCGCGTGGGTTACCCAGCGTCGCGCGCTCCCTTACCTCTAACCCCCCTCGTTCCGAGTGGTCGGGACGAAGGTAGTTATACCACATTTTGGTACTCTTGTGGAGGGTATAACTACAGAGGTTGAGCCCGCACTGGATCGCCAGCGCGAGCAACTACCGATCGGATTGAAAGAGGTCGAAAATCACCGCGTCGATCGCCAGTGATCATCGACGATGAACCGTGCGGATTCCGCCGGAGAAGATACCGCCTCCGGGCGAGCAAGTACCCGCAGTGGCAGAGGCGCACAGCGCCCCCGGATCGACAATCCGGAAGCCCTGCTACGCCCGCCGTCTACCAGGGGCCAGAAGACCCCTTCCGTTTCGGACACCACCGCCGGGCTACCGGCTGGTGGGGGGAACCGCGTACAAGTACTGTACGACGCGTTACTCCCGCGGCTACAAACCTGGATGGAGGATTTCCTCGCTGAGGAACTACCTCAGGTCGTCCAGGTTTGCCTCGACCGAACGGCACCAAGACTGGTGGCGGAGCATGCGGACACCGCGCTCCGCGCCCTGCTGGACGAGAAGAGCGCCCCCGTCGTACGCAACGAGGTGGTGGCAGCGCTCGCCGCGGAGGGGGACGAATCTCCGACCGCATTGGCTCTAAAGGGAGCTATTAGCTCCGCCGTGGCCATCCGTCTGGCCACGACATTCACCGAAACGGGAGGCGCGGTACCGCCGCCGGCGCCGCGCCGTGAAACCGTTCCGGGCTCAAGCTTTAATATCGCTGATCCGATCGGCGCCGTACCCGGGATTGATAGGATGGACCCTCACCCGGAGGGCAGAGCCATCTATCTCCCAACCGTTCACGGTGCTACAGGGAGGACCACAGAAAATGTCCTCCCCATACTCGCCAGTACGGGCGGCCCCCGCGGGACAGACAACCGCCTGGGGCTCCCCGAGACAGAGAATCGGGACCCGTACCGGTTGAGCAGAAGACGTGCACCCGGCACGCACAGGACCGAAGCAGAATACACCCGGTATTCCGAGGCAGAAGACCCCCGTCACAGGACGGATGAAGACCGCGAGGAACGCCGCTGGCGATACCGCGATAACCGCGAGGCACGCCACGGGCGATACCGCGATGCCGGAGGGGGAGGATACCCCTCCGATGATGACCCATCCGGTTCGGAAGACTCTCGCAGGCGGGGCCACAGGGCACGCCGCGATAGAAGCCGAGACCGGCACCGGCACGACCCCTCCGACTCGGAAGACTACCACACCGAGTCGGATGAGGGGTTTCGTCGCTCGAGCAGACGCCGCCGGGCTGCCCCGACGAGCGACGAGCGACGAGCGACGGCCCACGGTAATCAGGCCCCTCAATGACCTGTTTACCAAGGCCGTCAACTACAAGACCTACCGCCTGGAACGGCGTAGCTCGCGCTAAGACTCCACAGTAGCGCGGCACATTAACCGTTACCGGAAAAAACTGGACGTGCAGATGAGGTCCCACACGTTCAACGGTCAAGATCCGATTGCGGTATTGGGATTCCTCGCACGCCTCAAGATGGCGTGCGACCACAACGGGATCACCGAAGGAGCCGCCGTGTGGTGCTTCCAATTCTACCTCACCGGTCAGGCTCACGCCCTACTCCAGTCCCGTCTCAATGGAAATACCATGGCGGTTGACGTGGAGCGGCGCGAGCTGCTCCGGACATACCCCCAGGTGGTCAACTTTCTGTTGCGCACCTATGCTACCGACGAGGTAATTTCCGAAGCGGTTGGGGACGTGACCTCCTTCCGTCAGAGTTCAAACATGACGGAGGAGGTCTACAGTGACCACCTCTGGGACAAGGCCCTCCGATGCGGTACGGTATTCTCCGACCGGCGGTTGAAGTCCCTATTCGTCGAGGGGTTACTTCCCGCCACGTGCGCGCAGGTCCGTAATTACCTCGCCACGCACCCGGATGTGGATTA